AGCTATAAGAGTTATATTTTTACTTCTGGTTACAATGAAGTAACTTGCATCAGACCAAAGTTTCTACTGAAATGAAATTTTGTTCTTGTTGCCCAGGCTGGAGTGCAATGATGTGATCTCGGCTCACCACAACCTTCACCTCCCAGGTTCAAATGATTCTCCTGCCTCAGCCTCCAAAGTAGCTGGGATTACAGGCATGCACCACCATGTCTGGCTAATTTTTTTGTATTTTTAGTAGAGACAAGGTTTCTCCATGTTGGTCAGGCTGGTCTCAAACTCCTGACCTCAGGTGATCCGCCCGCTTTGGCCTCCCAAAGTGCTGGGATTATAAGAGTGAGCCACCGCACCTGGCCAATTTTTTTTTTTTTAAGACAGGGTTTTGTTCCGCTGCCCAGGCTGGAGTGTAGTGGCACAATTATGGTTCACTGCAGCCTCCACCTCCTGGGTTCAAGCAATCCTCCCATCTCAGCCTCCCAAGTAGTTGGGGCCACAAGCATGTGCCACCATACCCACCTAGTTTTTAAATTTTTTATAGAGATGAGGTCTCACTATGTTGCCCAGGCTGGTAATTCCTCCCGTCTTGGCCTCCCACAGTGCTTGGATTACAGGCATGAGCCAATGTGCCCAGCCTTGAAAAAAATATTTTAAAAAATCTCTTTGAAGAGTTGTAGGAGTCATTACTTGAGGGGCCAAGATTTTGGAGAAAAAAAGAAAATTATTTGAAAGATCTCAACATTTGGGCTGGGCATGGTGGCTCATGCCTATAATCCCAACACTTTGGGAGGCTGAGGCAGGCAGATCATGAGGTCAAGAGATCGAGACTATCCTGGCCAACATGGTAAAACCCCATCTCTACTAATAATACAAAAGTTAGCTGGATGTGGTGGCACGTACCTGTAGTCCCAGCTACTCAGGATACTGAGGCAGGAGAATCACTTGAACCCGGGAGGTGGAGGTTGCAGTGAGCTGAGATTGCACCTTTGCACTCCAGCATGGAGACAGAGCAAGACTCTGTCTCAAAAAAAAAGATCTCAACATTTGGTCATCCCTTTTCCCCTGGGGATGTGGGAGACTGCAGGGCCTGGTAGGGTTTACCCACATAGAGACAGAGAAGCCAGGGGAGCTTTAGACTATCTTACAGAGCAGAGAAACGAAAAAGGACAGTCTAGGCTCTCAAGGCAGCTGACTTGAGAAGCCAAGGTCCAAGAGACAGTGGAGGCACAGAAAACTAAACCTGACAGTTGGCATTTTTCTACTTGAGATATTTGTCAGTTCTTGGCTGTGCAGGGTGGGACGCTAATAAACTAAACAAAAGGCAGCTGGAAAAACTTTCACAGTCTCTGGGAGACAAAAATTTGAATTTAGGGCTGGTACAGTGGCTCATGCCTATAATCCCAGCATTTGAGGAGGCCAAGGAGGGAGGATTGCTGGAGCCCAGGAGTTCAAGACCAGCCTGGACAACACAGGGAGACCCCTATCTCTACAAAAGAGTAAAAGATTAGCCAGCATGGTGTGGTGTGCCTGTGGTCCTAGCTACTTGGGGGGCTGAGGTGGGAGGATCACATTAAGCCTGGGAGGTGGAGGTTGCAGTGAGCTGCAATTGTGCCACTCTGCTCCATCTAGCCTGGGTGACAGAGTAAGACCCTATGGAAAGAGAAAGAAAGAGAAAAAGAAAGAAAGAAGGAAGGAAGGAAGGAAGGAAGGAAGGAAGGAAGGAAGGAAGGAAGGAAGGAAGGAAGGAAAGAGGGAAAGAAAGAAAGCAAGAAAGAGAGAAAGAGAGAAAGGGAAATGAAGGGAAAGGAAGGAGAAAGGAAAGAAAGAATAAGAGAAAGAAAGAGAGAGAGGGAGGGAGGAAGGAAGGAAAGAAAGAAAGAAGGAAAAAAGGAAAGAAGGAAGGAAGGAAGGGAGGGAGGGAGGAAGGAAGGAAAGAAGGAAAGAATTTAGGATTTTCTGAGAATGAGTGACCCACACAAGAAACATCCCTGGACCTAGAAATGCTAGAGAGCTGTACTCTTGGAGGAAAATTGACCAGAGAAAGAACAAATTTGTAAAGGCTAAAACCAACTTCAGGTCACTTCAGTCCTTGACTGAGTTGAGGTAGACAATCAGCCCCTACTCTAACTGTTGCCAGAGAATAGAATGAATCCTCGGTAGAAGAAGATGCCATCATCCAAAGCCTCCCCAAGTTTTAATATAAACTCTCCAGCATTCAGTAAAAAACATTAAGAATACCAAGTTACAAGACCAAGAGAAAAAACAGGCAAGAAAAACGGGCAGGAAAAACAAACCCATATGCAACTTAGCTATTAAAGTTATCAGACATTAAAACAACTGTGATTAATATGCTCATAAAAAGATATAACAAGATGAAGAATTTTTGCTTGGGAACAACAACCTATTTTTAAAAATCAAACAAATTCCAAAACCAAAAGGGAATGTAATTGGTGAAATTAAGAATTCATTGGGAGGCTGAGGTGGGCAGATCACGAGGTCAAGAGATGGAGACCATCCTGGCCAAGATGGTGAAACCCCATCTCTACTAAAAATACAAAAAAATTAGCTGGGCATGGTGGTGAGCGCCTGTAGTCCCAGCTACTCGGGAGGCTGAGGCAGGAGAATTGCTTGACCCCGGGAGGTGGAGGTTGCAGTGAGCCGAGGTTGCGCCACTGCACTCCAGCCTGGTGCCTGGTGACAGAGTGAGACTCTGTCTAAAAAAAAAAAAAAAAATTTCAATAGATGGCTCAACAACAGTGTGGCACAGCTGAAAAGGATTAGTTAAGTTGCATGTAAGAGACATATGAGACGTGGTTGAGAGTTCCAACATTCATACAATTGGAGTCTCAGAAGAGAGAAGAATGGAGAAGAAGTGGTCTTTAAAGAAATACAGAAATAATGACTAAGAATTTTCCAACAATGCCAAGACATCAAGCTAGAGATTCAAGAGTGCTGCAAAGTCCAAGCAGGATAAATAGAAAGAAAATCACATCTAGTAACAGCCTTGTGAACCTTTGAAAATTATAGATAAAGAGGATCCTCTTTAAAGGAGTCCATGGGGCCAGGTGCGGTGGGTCATGCCTACAATCCCAGCACATTGGGAGGCTGAGGTGGGAGGATTGCTTGAGTCCAGGAGTTTAAGACCAGCCTGAGAAACATAGGGAGACTTGTCTCTACAAAATATTTTACAAATTAGCCAGGTGTGGTGGCTCATGCCTTGTCTATAGTCCCATCTACTTGAGAGGCAGGAGGGTTGCCTGAGCCTGGGAGGTCAAGGCTGCAGTGAGCCATGCTCACGCCACTGCACTCCAGCCTGGGTGACAAAGAAAGAAAGAAAAGAAACGAGTCTATGGTGAAAAGACACATACCTTCAAAAGCACAACAAAAAGATGAAAGCCAGAAGACAATGGAATGACATCTTCAAATTTCTAAAATAAAAATACTTGACAATCTAGAATTCTATACCCAGCGAAAAAACTTTCAAAATGCAGGCAAAAAAAAAAAAGTTATTTCCAGACAGGCAAGAACCAGGAGAATTCAGCACCAGTAGACAGGCATTATTAACACAAACACTAAAATGAGTTTTTCAGGCAAAAGTAAATGACCCCAGATGGTAAAAAGGAAATGTAAGAAGGAACGAAGAACAACAGAAAGGGTAAATATGTGGGTACGTCTAAATAGACATTGACTTTACAAGAAAATAATGTAATGTGACGTTCAAAATATATACAGAACCAAAATGTGAGACAATGATATCACAAAAAGAAGGGGAATGAGTTAAAATGTCCCAAGCTTGGAGCATTGTCCAGAATTTACAAAAGTACTACTTTATATTAGACTCTAATAAGTAATCTATGGCAATCTCTAAAATAATAGTAAAAGAATGTAAAACTGACAAGCTAATGGGGGAGATGGAATAATGAAAAATATTATTAATTCAAAAGAAGGCAAGAAAAGGGAACATAAAACAGGAAGGAAAAATGGAAAACAAATTTCAAAGACAGTGGATGTAAAACAAAAATTATCAACCAAAGAGCTAAATACTCCAGTTAAATGTAAATGAATTAAATACTCCATTTAAAAGACAAAGCTTTTTTTTTTTTTTTTTTTGAGATAGAGTCTTGCGCTGTTACCCAGGCTGGAGTGCAGTGGCACAACCTTGGCTCACTGCAACTTCTGCCTCCCAGATTCAAGCGATTCTCCTGCCTCAGCCTCCAGGTAGCTGGCATTACAGGTGAGCGCCACCATGCATAGTTAATTTTTGTAATTTTTTTCAGTGGATACTGGGTTTGGCCTTGTCAGCCAGGCTGGTCTCAAACTCCTGACTTCAGGTGATCCACCTGCCTCAGTCCCCCAACGTGCTGGTCTTAGAGGCATGAGCTACTGGGCCTGGCCCTCTTAGGACTGGATTTTTAAATGATATGCTGTTTACAAGGGTCTTTAAATATTAAGCTGAACCATATTAACGTGCTGATATTTAATCATATTTGACTTATAAAAATAGCAGTTTCTTATAGTTTAACCCAAAATGAGGGCATAGTGAAGCTGACTGTGAGGCAATCCTGGATCCTGCATGCTCTGCTTTGGTCCTGTATGTGCAGGTTCAGGCCTGGAATGAGGCAACTGGGGCATGTTATCTGAAATCACTGTATAGAGAGCAGAGGCCCAGCCCAGGCTCCTCCTCGTAAACTAGAGGTCTTCCCAGGGTGCTCAGCCAGGGATCTGGAGTCCCAGGGTGTGAGGGACCAAGAGCAGATGACTTGCTCTGGGTCTTGCTTAATGTTTATGGCTGTCAAGAAAAGAAGCCTCTTTCCTTCAGCAGCCCCTCCCCTGCCCCCTCTCCATCAGAAAGGAGCAAGGAAGGGCATCACAGGGTCCCCAGGAAGCCCCCGGGGAGCCCTAGGGTAGAGATCAGCCCGAAGCCTGTTTCTCCAGCCATAGCCGAAGCTGTGCCCAGAAGGCCCCAAGTCTGGCAGCAAAAGTGCAGTGCTGCTGATTGGACTCACCTTGGAAGGCAGAAGCTGGATGCTGCTTCCCAGGCAGCAAGGGGGAAGAGAGCCAAAGGGAGGGGAGAGAAGAGAGCAGGGAGAAGGTAGGAGGGCTGAAAATGGAAACGGGCAGGGAACAGAAAATGGGGTGGGAGTGGGCAAGACAGAAGGCAGGGAATGAGGACAGGGGAGGGGAGAAGAAAGGAGAAGGAAGCAGAGAAAGAAGAGCTCGGTCCTCGTCCCTGCCACCCACACCTTTCATGTGCTGCCTCAAGATGATTTGCATTTTACCAGGGATGGTGCCTGGAATCCTAAAGCATGAAGCACTCGTGATGGTATTTCAGGCACAGCGCTCTCAAATGCAGGAGCCTGCCCTCAATCCACATCTTGGAGGCCTCTAGCTTCCCTGCCGAGGCTTAGGATTCACTCCAGGAAGCCGGAGCCTACCCACTGGCAGCTGAGAGCTAGAAACGGGAGAAGCTTTTCTAGTGTGTTTTCAAAAGGCTTTGCTCTTTCAAAACAACTTCTTTTCCACGAGGACCTTGAAACCCAGGATGACTCCCAAAGGATAAAACTACCTCCCCACAGCCCTGTGTTCTAGATCGCAAAAAATTCCCTTGCCCTGGGACCTTGGGCTCAGACCCTCCCCTGGCCTTCTGAGGGCACACAGAGTTTGAGGAATATCATTCTACCGTCAGGACAACTAGATGAATAATAAATCACCGTTCAGCATGTATGGTTTGGCTCGGAGGCTGTTCTGGGGATGGTGATTCAAGGCAAAAGAATCTGCCCTGATGGTTTTTCTGATGGTCTCAGTCCTGTATTTTCATGATTCTGGCCCTCAGAGACCCCCCTTTGCTCTTCACCTCCCCAGGCCTTCAGCCAGGACCAGCCTCCTCTCCCTGGGCCCTCAGACTCTAGGACTTAAGCGGGTCTGTGGCCTAAGAGGCTGGATGGAGGAGGCGGTCCCTCCTGTCTGGAGGAGGAGCAGTAAGCACTGCCCAGCTGCAGAACAGGGCACGCCAGCAGGGCCAGGCGGCAAGGCGAAGGCGGATTTCCAAGTGGAAGGCAGTCAGAACTATGTTGGAATCCACCTCCAGAGTCACGGATTTTTTTTTTTAAATGTCCTTTTCCAACACCTACTTTGAAAAAATATTTAAGGGCAGGGGAAATTAATTAGGGTCCTTTGTGCTGGAATCGCTTTCCACAGTGTTCCTTCAGCAAGCGAAGTAAAAATAGAACATGTGAATGTTTGAAAATGCACTGCACACAGAGCTCATATTTAAGAGCCCAGCTAGGCATGACTATTCAAACAGGAAGAATGGAGTTAATTATTTCCATCACCGCAGGAGGGAAACAGTGGCGGTCTTCTGGGGTCGTTGGAAACAGCCTGAAAACTGGAAAAACCCGTGGGAGGCTGGGAGGAGAAGCCTTTCCAAGGGACAGACCCTGCTTGTGCCCCTTAGAATAATCATCACTTTTGTCCTAACTTTGTTACTGATGAGGAGTGAGGAAATCAGGAAAAACGAGTGGAGAAAAGGAAAGAGTTTGGAGGTTATTAAAAATCCCTCCTATTTATGCAACAATCTGACTTTTTTTTTCTTTTTTTGAACACATTTTCCCATTCATATGCTCCTCAACTAACCCCCGGGAAGTAGGCTTGGTAGGCATTTTCATTTTCTGCAAATGAGGATGCTTGATGAGTCTGAAGTCACAGAAAGATGTCACTGGCAGGCTGAGTAAGGCCTAGAAGTCAGGTGGTCTGACTCTCACCTGGCAACATTTCGGTGTGACACGGTGGCGTGAGTGTGGGCTTCGGAGCCAGGAACATCTGAGATGAGGTCTGGCAAGCCACTCCGGCTCTCAGCCTTGGTTTTCACCTCTGTAACAGCTTTCCTGGGACCTTAGGGCCTACATAGGTTCCCTTTTAAGGGTTGTCCTGAAGATGAAGTGAAATGATTTGTCTAAATAATTAAGCACAGCGCATGGCCAGTAACAAGCATTTGGTCAGCTGTTACCATTGTTCTGTGATGAGGATATCAGCAGAATATTCTGGAGAAGGGAAGGATAAAGCAGCCGTCAGAAACACTCCACACAGAGGCAACCAGTGTCATGGCACAAGTCCTCAAGCAGGAGTCATGCGACCTTGGGTAAATCATACAATCTTTAAGACTCCACATTCTCATCTGTAAAATGGGGATCGTGATACCTTCTCTGGCTGAGGCAAGGCTATGTGTTCACCACAGTAGAAACGACATTTTCCAGCTCCCTTGCGAGATCAAGAGCCCTGTAATGATCACCCTTTGTAGTCATTGTATTGTCATCAACATCGTCACCGTCCCCCACCCTGTAATAGCACCTACAGTTTTCACAGTAGATTTCCACATTGGATCCCATTTCATTCTTACAGAAATTCTGATTCCTATTTTATAAACAAGAAAACATAAGTTTGAAGAGAGCAAATGACTTTGCCCACTTTATGGAGGTATGAGTAGGACTTGAACACAGGACCCTTGCCTCCGCAAAGCAGTGACCCTGGGTAGCACACTGGGGCATCTTCAGACTTGCCCTAAACAGACATGTTTTCCTCCATGGCGTCTCCTCTCTTCCTAGGTTAGCCCCTCAGCTAGCCTCTAGGGAGGTAGGTGGGGACAGGGGGCACCTAGCTCTGGGTGAGCGGGGCAGGGCTGCCTCCTAGCAGGGCTACCTTGCTGTGTTGGAAGCAGAGTGATAGGCAGCCCCAGAGCTCTAAGTGGAGCCCGTGTGAGACGCAGTGCCAAGGTTTGCCATGGCCCGGGAGGCTATGAGGGATCTGTCCAGAGCATATGCTGTAAAGACACCCAGAACAAAAGCTGTCTGGCCAAAGGGATCAGGCGTGGGGCTCCCTGCACAGGGTGGGGCCAAGGCTAGCCTCAGGTCCCACATGGGCTGCTCTCTGGTCCAGGGTTCCAGCCACACATTGACTCCTAACGCTGGCTATGGAATGACCTCAACCCTGGCCACAAACGAACCCTTAAAGCTAGGACAAACCAGCTCCAAACCTCACTCACAGGCTGACCACAAACCCAGTTACAGTCACCCCACCTAGAGACTGACTCCAAGCATGAGCCTTGCTTGGATATTGACCCCAATCCTCAAAGGCTACACCTCACTGCCGTGAACTAACCACTCACTGACCACAAACTGACGTCTAGCCCTGGACCCAGAGTGGCTTATTGTACTCTGGCCAGACTGACCCTAGATCAGCAGCTCTCAAGCATATGCCATTGGTCATACAAGCCAGAGGGGACAGGTGGGTCAGCCCAGCACATCTTCTCTCAGAACACTTAGACCACCATAGGGCTGGGGAGGGAGACCCAGGGCCATCTCTGTAAATGGATTTATAACCAGAATCGTACAATTTGGTGTTTCATTTCTGTTTGATAATACTTAGTACCTTCCTTATATTACCATATTTCAATTGTAAAAAGCACATTTTAACATTTCTGTAAAGAGGATGTGTTTATAATAATCAATGAATCCTTATGAGTTACTGTTGGCCTGGTGGTTGCTATGATGTTATTAGACACGTAGGAATCTGTCCGTGGCTGTTCATGTCACTGGCACTTCAACTGGGCACTGTTTTTCATGGTTGGTACCACACATATTCAGCTCAAAACAACAACTGTTATTTGACATTTAAACAAAAAGGTACTATGCTCAGAGAAAGGCATGGTAAGAGGGCAGCAGATGGCAATTTGATTTTAGTGGAAGAAGTTGGAAAAATGATAATAATTTTCCCATTTTCTTTCACAGTAACAACTGAATGTTTTACAAGGCCCAAGAAACTTTATGTGGAGTGTATAAGGAAAGTATAGATGATTTCACTTATGCCCTAGTTATAGCTCTTCATAAAATATTAGTACATTATTTTTAAAATAGCCAATCATGACTAAGAAGTGTTTATTCCAGGAATTTAAGAATGGTCCAGTATAAGAAAATCCATCCATGTATTTCACCACATTAATAAACTTAGGGAGAAAAAGCACATGATATCTCAACAGATGCAAAAAAGCATTTGAAAAGTTTAACATCTCTTTGTGATAAAAACTCTCAGATACTAAAAACAGACAGGAAATTCTTTAACTTGAGCATGGCTCTCTTCTAAGATCCTACAGCAAATATACTTAAGAAAATGTTTAAAATTTTAGATACTTTTTTAAATGTTTAGGTCCAAGACAGGAATAGTCATTGCTATTATCCAATATAGTACTAGAGCGCCTGGCCAATGCAATAAAATAAGAAAAAGAAATGAGGACTGTAATATAACTATTGTAATGGAAGAGATAAACCTATCAATTGTGGATAATATCATGATCTGCAAATAAAAACTAACCCTCCCACACAACTTATAGAGCTGCAATAAATACTTCTTTAAGAGAGCTGGTTAGAAGATCAACCTAGGAAATTCATTAGTACTTCTCTAAAACAGCAATAAATTATAAAAGTAGAAAATAAACTTCTAGCCAAAATAACAGCAAATTTACAAATCATCTAGAAAAGTGTACAATTAACAAGACATTTGTGGATCAAATTGTAAAACTTTATAACAAAGATAAATACTAGCTGGATGTAAAAGGTAAATCTAAAAAATATGTAGAAGACATACTAAGAATATTAAGACTGTCTCAGAATATCTGTGACTGGGGGAATGCTTTTGTATGCAAGGTCCCAAAGGTACAAACCTTTACAAGGGAAAAGCAATGATTTGTCTACATCAAAATTAGCGTTTTTGTTCAGTAAATAATACAATGTACAAAGTTATATTAATGATAACTTGGGGGAAAATAGTTTAAATGACTAAAATAGACTAGATCTGGAAAAAGACATAAGAATCTCTTGCAAATCAACAAGATGTCACAACCCAATGTCAATCAAGAAATTGGGAAAGGAGATAAATAGACAACTCACAGAAGAAAAATGCCAAATGGTAAGAAGTATTTGAAGTGATGCTTGAACTCATGGCCCCCAGGGAAAGGCAACTTCAGACAAATATGACATGCCTCCTTACACTCATGCTACTGACAAAAATGAGAAAGTCAGATCATCTCAAATATTGATGGTGAGGTCAGGGAACAGGAGCCATGATGCCCTGCTGTAGGGATTGTAACTGGGGGGCATCTATTCTGAAGACCAACCAGGTAGTAATTAGTGACTGAATTGTGTGCATTGCTCAGAGGCCAACAACTGCACTTCTGGG